TGTGGTCAATTTTAGAGTAGGTGTGATGTGGTGCTGAGAAGAATGTATATTCTGTGTATTTGGGGTGGAGAGTTCTGTATATGTCTATCAGGTTTGCTTGTTCCAGGTCTGAGTTCAAGCCCTGAATATCCTTGTTGATTTTCTGTCTTGTTGATCTGTCTAATATTGACAGTGGAGTGTTAAAGTCTCCCACTATTATTGTGTGGGAGTCTAAGTCTCTTTGTAAGTCATTAAGAACTTGCCTTATGTATCTGGGTGCTCCTGTATTGGGTCCATATATGTTTAGGATCGTTAGCTCTTCTTGTTTTATCGATCCTTTTACCATTATGTAATGGCCTTCTTTGTCTCTTTTGATCTTTGTTGCTTTAAAGTGTATTTTATCAGAGATGAGAATTGCAACTCCTGCTTTGTTTTTGCTCTCCATTTGCTTGGTAAATCTTCCTCCATCCCTTTATTTTGAGCCTTTGTGTATCCTTGCATGTGAGATGGGTTTCCTGGATACAGCACACTGGTGGGTTTTGGTTTTTTATCCAATTTGCCAGTCTGTGTCATTTGATTGGTGCATTTAGTCCATTTACATTTAGGGTTAATATTGTTATGTGTGAATTAGATACTGCCATTTTGATTCTAGCTGGCTGTTTTGCCCATTAGTTGATGAAGATTCTTCATTATGTTGATGCTCTTTAGCATTTAGTGTGTTTTTGGAATGGCTGGTACTGGTTGTTTCTTTCTATGTGTAGTGTCTCTTTCAGGAGCTCTTGTAAAGCAGGCCTGGTGGTGACAAAATCTCTGAGTACTTGCTTGTTCGCAAAGGATTTTATTTTTCCTTCACTTCTGAAGCTCAGTTTGACTGGATATGAAATTCTGGGTTGAAAGTTCTTTTTTTTAAGGATGTTGAATATTGGCCCCCACTGTCTTCTGGCTTGTAGAGTTTCTGCCGAGAGATCTGCTGTGAGTCTGATGGGCTTCCCTTTGTGGGTGACCCGATCTTTCTCTCTGGCTGCCCTTAGTATTTTCTCCTTTATTTCAACCCTGGTGAATCTGATGATTATGTGCCTTGGGGTTGCTCTTCTTGCGGAATATCTTTGTGGTGTTCTCTGTATTTCCTGCATTTGAGTGTTGGCCTGCCTTGCTAGGTGGGGGAAATTTTCCTGGCTAATATCCTGAAGAGTATTTTTCAGCTTGGATTCATTCTCTTCGTCACATTCTGGTACACCTATCAAATGTAGGTTAGGTCTCTTCACATAGTCCCACATTTCTTGGAGACTTTGTTCATTCCTTTTTGCGCTTTTTTCTCTAATCTTGGTTTCTCGTTTTATTTCATTGAGTTGATCTTCGACTTCTGATATTCCTTCTTCTGCTTGGTGAATTCGGCTGTTGAAACTTGTGCATGCTTCACAAAGTTCTTGTATTGTGTTTTTCAGCTCCTTCAACTCATTCATATTCCTCTCTAAGTTATCCATTCTTGTTATCATTTCCTCGAATCTTTTTTCAAGGTTCTTAGTTTCTTTGCATTGATTTAAAACATGTTCTTTTAGCTCACAAAAGTTTCTCATTATCCACCTCTGAAGTCTAATTCTGTCAATTTGTCACAGTCATTCTCTGTCCAGCTTTGTTCCCTTGCTGGTGAGGAGTTTTGGTCCTTTGTAGGAGGCGAGGTGTTCTGGTTTCAGCTGTTTTTCTCCTTTTTGTGCTGGTTTCTTTCCATCTTTGTGGATTTATCTACCTGTCATCTGAGTAGTTGCTGACTTTTTGATTGGGTCTCTGAGTGGATGCCCAGATTGTTGATGATGAAGTATTTCTGTTACTTGGTTTTCCTTCTACCAGTCTAGCCCTTCCACTGTATGACTGCTGAGGTCCACTCGAGGCCCTGCTTGTCTGTGCACCTATAGCAGCTGCAGAACAGTGGGGGATGCTACCAGTTTCTTTTTCTGCTATCTTTGTCCCAGAATGATGCCTGCCAAATGTCAGTCTTCTGGATATAGAGGGGTCAGGGAGTTGCTTGAGGAGACAGTCTGTACTTTATAGGAGCTCAAGTGCTGAGCTGTGAGCTCTGTTGTTCATTCAGGGCTGTTAGGTTGCTACGTTTAATTCTGCTGCAGCAGAACTCATTAAAAAAAAAACTCTTTTTTTTCCTCAGATGCTCTGTCTCCAGGGGTTGGGACTTTATGAGTTTCCGTTGCGCTGTCCTGCCCAGCTAGGAGGCAGTCTAGTCACTATTTGCCTGCCGAGGCTCTGCCCTGCTGGTGTGAGGTCTGCCCCATTGCTGCGGTCTCCGCTCTGCTGCCATGGGCTACGCCCTGTGGTGGAGTCTCTCTGTTGTGTGGGGTTGCCTTGGCAATGGCAGGCTGCATCAGCAATGGGAGTGTAACCTCAGTAGGGGTGGATTGCCTCGGTAATGGCGAACGCCTCTCCCCCACCGAGCTGCACCGTCCTGGGTTCAGCTGTGTCCGCAGTGAAACTCTCCACCTGGAGCATTTGGAATCACTGTTTTGTTTGTCCCACTGCACTGGCCCAAATGCCATTTCCCTGAAATCTCCTGGCCTGGCTCACTGTCCAAGTCCCATTCAATCAGATGGATATGCCAATCTGCCCTCTCAAGTCTCAGATTGCTGGTTAAACAGGGCACCCGGTCCAGTGCACTTTGTGTGGAGCACTGTGGAGCACCGCTGTGCTATAGCGCCAGCCGCCAGCTGCACCAGTCAAAACCGCTGCACTGGTATCCCACTTCTCTTTATACCTGGGAATTTCCCCGTTCTGTGGGCAACAAAGATCTGTCTGGAAATTCGGCCCTGACTCACCCTCCACACGTTCACTGAGAGCTTCAATCCTGGGTTGTTCTCACGGCACCATCTTGAGTCGGTCCTTTCTCTTGTCTTTATTATTTCCTTTCTTCCAATGACTTTTGATTTACTTTGTTCTTTTTCTAGTGTCTTGAGGTGGTACCTTACATCACTTTTCTGTGTTCTGTTCTAATATAAACATTTAAAGCTACAAACTTCTCTCTAAGCATTTCTTCAGCTAAATCCCACAAATTTTGGAATATTTTCATCATCACTGAGTTAAAAATAAAATTTATTTGTGACTTCTCCTTTGTCCTATCAATATTTTTAAATGTTTTTCTAATTCCAAAATATTTGGAATTTATCATCATCGAGTTAAAAATATAATTTATTTGTGACTTCCCCTTTGACCTATCAATATTTTAAAATGTTTTTTAATTGCCAAATATTTGGGATTTACCTAAATATTAATGGTGTTGGTTTCTAATTAATTTCATTGTGATCAGAGAACATAATCTGAACTATTACAATCTTGTAAATATATTAAGATTTATTTTATGGCTCAAAATATGGTGTATATTGGCAAACATACCATATGCACTAAAACAAATGTGTATTACACAAAAACAATGTTTTTCGGTGGTTGAATGAGGCATCCCATAATTATCACTTGTATCAAGACAGTTAATAATGTGTTCAAATCTTCTGTCTTACACTGATTTTTTGCTAGTTGTCCTCTCAAATCCTGAGAAACAGTTAATAAATATCTTCCACTAAAATTCTGGAATTTTCTCCCTCTAATTCTGTCCATTTTTGTTTCATATATTTTGAGGCTCTGTTTTAGGCAAATACACATTTATGTTTGTTTTGTCTTATGACGAATTAATAATTTTTGGCATTTCTTTTTATCTCTGGCAATACTCTTTTTCTTAAGTTCTATTTTATCTGATAGTAATTTAGCTGACTTCAGCCTTCATATGCTTACCATTTTTGACATAATTTGTTCCATCAATTTTTAAGCTATTTGTATGTTTATATTTCTCTCTTAGTCATATGTAATTGGGTCTAGAAACTTTTACCCATTCTGACCATTCCTGTCTCTTATTTGGTGTGTTTAGTCCATTAACATTGCAAATGTGCACTCAGCTATTGAGTTATCCCAAAGAAAGAGAACTAACACTTCCAGTGATGTTGGCTAGGGGATAAACTATGAGTCTTAGCACTAACAACCACAAAGACAAACACAGAGCATGTACCCTCAGAAAATAAATAAGGGAGACTGCAGTTGACTTCACAAGAATGTTTGAAATCTTAGTGAACTCAAAATAAACCAGCTGTGAGCTTTCCAGAAGATAAAATTCACTTTGTGTTGCAAGAGTTTTGACATATTGAACTCCAATGTCATAGTCATAGCCCTATCAATGTAATGGGTTTACTGGGTTCAGGAACCCTTTCACTACTTAAATATTTTTGTTTTACAACTGATGGATAAAATTGGGGAATTAAATTTCTCATGAAAAATTTATGAGCCAGAAATTCTAAAGAGACCAGTACAAAGATCAAAAGCCATTTTTATCCTGAACTAAAGCTATATAGAATAATACATCAAGCAAAGTTCTCTTTTCCTGAAATTCTGTCAGTGAAAGTCAGAAATAAATTAATGACTCATACATTTAAAGCTTCTGCTTAAAATGTGAGATGAATATTTTCTTTTCTTCTTTTTTTTTCTTCCTGTGGAGACAGGGTCTTTCTCTGTTGCCCAGGCTGGAGTGCAGTGGTACAATCACAACTCACTACAGACTCAACCTGCCAGGTACAAGCAATCCTCCCATCTCAGCCTCCCAAGCAGCTGGGACTACAGGTGTTCACTACCATGGCTGGCTTATTTTTTTATAGAGACAGTATTTTGCCATGTGGCCCACATTGGTCTCCAACTCCTAGGCTCAAGTGATCCACCCACTTCAGCCTCCCAAAGCGCTGGGATAATTTTCTACTTAAGGACTCATCATAAAAGATAGCTAATTAATTTAAACAAGAAATATCTAATTCATTTTCTTGTTAATATGCATTTTTCAAAATAAATTGATTTTGAAAATCCATTTATTGATTTTCAATTTCAAAATAAATAACCTTTTAAAGGATTTTTTTGTGGGTTTCCAGAATCAGTACAAAATAATTCTACCCATAAATGAAGGCTCTAGTTAAGCTCCATGTCTTGTTCTTATTTCAGCAGAACATATACTAAAATTAGAACAATACAGAGATAAGCATGGCCCTTGGGCAATGATGATGCACGAATTTGTGAAGTGTTCATGTAAAATGTATATAAAACTTAAATTTAAAAATATAAAATAAAAATTTTAAAAAGACTCATTTCTTTATTTCTCTAGCCCACAATTCCCTTCCCTTTCATAGAGCATTTTTGCAGCTTTTTGTGTACTCTACTTGTTTTGATACTATGTGGATATTTGACTATGAATCTTGACCATTGATAATTTACTGGAAGAGAGGGTAGCAAATAAACTGATTAAATCTTCCATGACTCTGTGGAAAATATAGATTAGCTCTCAAATGTTATCAAGTCTAAAAGTAATTTTTAAATGGTTATTGCATTTTGCCCAACATTATATTTGATAACAGCAGGAATTGCCTATATAGAGTAAATTTCTTAGCATATCTCCTTCCCAAGAGAAAGGGAGCTCTGATTCTTAATGGCCAATGCCATTTACCCAGCCAGAATACCTCCAACATACAAATACAGACTTGTCAAGGTGATGCAAAAGTAGTCAGAATCAAAGTGGAGTCACACATTCCCTCAGACAGAGGTTAAAAGCAGAAGGGATTGTGGCAGATGGGAGGCAGGACTAGATTGCAGCTTCAACTCAGATGGACAGAGCAGTATGTGGAGGCTCTCGTGGTGAATTTTTGCTCCAGAACAACTGAAGGAATAAATCAGGAAACCCAAGAGGACTCGCCTACCCACCTGAAGGAAGCAGATTGCTCCTGCAGGACCCAATAGACACCCCAAATACTGTGCAAGTATCCACAGTTATTGGGACCCACAGATGTTTCACACCACAGGACTCTGTCAAGACAACCCCCAGTACCAGTCTAGTCAGTGGGTGACTAGATCCAGAAGAGAGAGCTCAGCTCTCAGGAAGCCACATCTGTAGGAAAAGGGTGAGAGTATTACCTCAAGGGTACACCTTGTGGGACAAAAGAATCTGAACAACAACCTTCAGCCCTAGATCCTCCCTCTGATAGAGCTGCCCAAATGAGAGGGTATCAGAAAACTAACTCTGGTAATATGATGAAACAAGATTCTTTAACACCCCCCAAAAGTCACACTAGCTCACCAGAAATGGATCCAAACCAAGAAGAAATCCCCAACTTACCTGCAAAGTAATTCAGGTGGTTAGTTATTTATTAAGCTAATCAGGGAGGCACCAGAGAAAGGTGAAGCCCAATGTAAGAAAGTCAATAAAATGATACAATAAGTGAAGGGAGAAATATTCAATGAAATAAATAGCACAAATAAAAAAAAATCAAAACTTCAGGAAACAATGGACACACTTACAGAAATATAAAATTCTCTAGAAAGTCTCAGCAATAGAATCAAACACATAGAAGAAACAAACTCGGAGCTTGAAGACAAGGTTTTCAAATTAACCCAATCCAACAAAGGCAAAAAAGAATAAGAAGATGTGAAAAAAGTCTCCAAGAAGTCTGGGATTATGTTAAACAACCAAACCTAAGAATAATCTGTGTTCCTAAGGAAGAAGACAATTCTAAAAGCTTGTAACATATTTGGGGGAATAATCAAGAAAAATTTCCCCTGCCTTGCTGGAGACTTAGATCTGCAAATACAAGAACCACAAAGAACCCCTGGGAAATTCATCACAAAAAGATCATCATCTAGGCACATTGTTGTCAGGTTATCTAAAGTTAACAGGATCTAATTAGTTAATCTAATATGGAGAGAATCTTAAGAGCTGTGAGATAAAAGCACCAGATAACCTATAAAGGAAAACCTATCATATTAACAACAGATTTCTCAGCAGAATCCCTACAATCTAGAAGGGATTGGGGCCCTATCTTCAGCCTTCTCAAACAAAACAATTATCAGCTAAGAATTTTGTATCCAGCAAAACTAAGCTTCATATATGAAGGAAAGATTCAGTCTTTTTTCTGAAAACAAATGCTAAGATAATTCACCACTACCAAGCCACCACTACAAGGACTACTAAAAGGAGCTCTAAATCTTGAAACAAATTGTGGAAAACACATCAAAATAGAACCTCCTTAAAGCACAAATTTCACAGGACCTATAAAACAAAAATACAATTGAAAAAACAAAAACTAAGGTATACAGGCATCAAGTACCATGATGAATGGAATGGTACCTCACATCTCAATACTAACAATGAATATAAATTACCTAAATGCTTCACTTAAAAGATACAGAATTGCAGAATGGATAAGAATTCACCAACCATCTTCTGCCTTCAAGAGACTTACCTAACACATAAGGACTCACATAAATTTAAGGTAAAGGGGTTAAAAAAAAAGACACCAACAAGTAGGGACATGGATGAATCTGGAGAACATCATTCTCAGCAAACTGACACAAGAACAGAAAATGAAACACCGCATATTCTCACTCATAGGCGGGTGATGAAAAATGAGAACATATGGACACAGAGAGGGGAGTACTAAACACTGGGGTCTATTGGGGGGAAAAGGGGAGGGCCAGTGGGAGGGGGAGGTGGGGAGGGATAGCCTGGGGAGAAACGCCAAATGTGGGTGAACGGGTGAAAGCAAACAAAACACACTGCCATGTGTGTACCTATGCAACTGTATTGCATGCTCTGCACATGTACCCCAAAACCTAAAATGCAATAAAAAAATAAGAATAAAAAAAAAAGAAAAAGAAAAAAAGACACCAAAAGAAGCAGGAGTAACTATTCTTACATCAGACAAAATGAACTTTAAAGCAACAACAGTCAAGAAAGATGAAGAGGGACATTACATAATGATAAAAGGCTTTGTCCAACAGGAAAATATTACAATCCTAAATGTATATGCACCTTATGCACCTAACACTGGAGCTCCCAAATTTAAACAACTATTACTAATAGGCCTAAGAAATGAGATAGTAACACAATAATAGTGGAGGATTTCAATACTCCACTGACAGCATTAGACAGGTCAACAATACAGAAGAAAGTCAACAAATAAATAATAAATTTAAACTATATCCTGGAACAAACAGACTTAACAGATATATACAGAACATTCCATCCAACAACTGCAGACTATACATTCTATTCAACAGTTCCTGACACTTCCTCCAAGATTGACCATATGATAGGCCACAAAATAAGCCTCAGTAAATTTAAGAAAATTGAAATTATATCAAGCACTCTCTCAGACCACAGTGGAATACGATTGGAAATAAACTCTAAAAGGACCCTTCAAAATCATGCAAATACAATGGAATTAAATAACCTGCTCCTGAAAGAGCATTGGGTGAAAAATGAAATCAAGATGGAAATTTTCAAATTCTTCAAACTGAATGGAATAGTAACACAATCTATCAAAACTTCTGGAATATGGCAAAGGTAGTGCTAAGAGGAAAGTTCACAGCCCCAAATGCCTACATTAAAAAGTCCAAAAGAGCACAAACAGACAATCTAAAGTTACACATCAAGGAACTAGAAAAACAAGAACAAACCAAACCCAAACCCAGCAGAAGAAAGGAAATAACCAAGATCAGAGCAGAACTAAATGAAACTGAAACAAACCAACAAGAAAATACAAAAGATAAATGAAAAAAAAATCTGGTTCTTTGAAAATATAAGTAAAATTGATAGACCATTTGCAAGATTAGAAGAGAAGAAGAAGAGAGGAAAATCCAAATATGCTCAATTAGAAATTAAACAGGAGACATTACAACCGATACCACTGAAATACAAAAGATTATTCAAGGCTACTGTGAACACCTTTATACACATAAACTAGAAAACCTAAAAGAATTTTTCTGGAAGGATACAACCCTCCTAGTTTAAATCAGGAAGATTTAGACACCCTGAACAGACCAATACAAGCAGTGAGATTGAAATGGTAATTTTAAGATTATCAACAACAAAAAAAGTTCAGGACCATACAGATACACAGCAGAATTCTACCAGACATTCCAAGAAGAATTGGTACCAATCCTATTGACACTATTCCACAAAATAGAGAAAGAGGGAACCCTCCCTAAATCATTCTATGAAGCCAGTGTCGCCCTAATACCAAAACCAGGAAAGGATATAACCAAAAGAGACAACTATAGACCAATATCCCTGATGAACATAGATGCTAAAATCCTTAAAATATTAGCTAACTGAATCCAACAGCATATCAAAAAGATAATACACCATCATAAAGTGAGTTTCATACAAGGGATGCAGGGATATTTTAACATACACAAGTCAATAAATGTAATATGCCACATAAACAGAATTAAAAACAAAAATCACATTATTATCTCAATAGAATTCATCCTTTTCTGATTAAAACTTTCAGCAAAATTGGCATACAAAGTAATACTTCAGTGTAATAAAAGCTGCCTATGACAAACCCATAGCCAACATAATGGGGAACTGTTGAAAGCATTTCCTCTGAGAACTGGAATAAGACAAGGATGCCCACTCTCAGCACTTCTCTTCAACACAGTACTGGAAGTCCTACCCAGAGCAATCAGACAAGAGAAGGTAATAAAGGGCAGTCAAATCAGTAAAGAGGAAGTCAAATCATCACTGTTTGCTGATGATATCATTGTTTACCGAGAAAATCTTAAAGACTCCTCCAGAAAGCTCCTAGAACTGATAAAAGAATTCAGCAAAATTTCCAGATACCAAATTAATGTATACAAATCAGTAGCTCTTCTATACCAATAGCAACCAAGCTGAGAATCAAATCAAGAACACAACCCCTTTTCCAATAGCTGCAAAAAATAAATAAATAAATACTTAGGAATATACATAATCAAGGAGGTAAAAGACCTCTACAAGAAAAACTACCAGACACTGCTGAAAGAAATCATAGCTGACACAAACAAATGGAAATACATCCCGTGCTCAGGGATGGGTAGAATCAATATTGTCAAAATGACAGTATTGCCAGAGCAATCTAGAAATTCAATGCAATTCCCATCAAAGTACCACCATCATTCTTCACAGAATTAGAAAAAAAAATCCTAAAGTTCATGTGGAACTAAAAAAGAGCCTGCATAGCCAAAGCAAGACAAAAAGAACAAATCTGGAGGTATCACATT